TAGTTCAGGATCCTTAAAATAGGGATAAAACCAACCACCTGTGCTTGAACAGCAAACTGAGGGAGGCTCACTACCCCTTAGGAAAAAAGAAATGCTACGTATCCCAAATATTCTACCAAACCTCTCACATGGGGTGGGACTCACACAAATCTACATGTGTGTGGGTCCCACACCCATGTGAGAGATTTGGTAGAATATTTAGGGTTCCTAGCATAACTCTAGGAAAAAAACTCTCTTACTAACACAGAAGGAAGCATTGCACTGAACCAACTCAAAGGCTTGTACTGACGCAGAGGGCAGGAGAAACTGGCCATGTCGCTAGTAGTTTACTATGTTCTCGAGAGTGTGTCCCCGTAGCTTCTAAGCGAAAAGGGCATCAGATGGAGGACTACGCTTGCTCGGATGATGTAAGGTCCTTTCTGCACAAGAGAGAAGTTGCGCGAGGAAAACGTCCAAAGGGGTCAGGACCATCCTAGGTTTCTGATTTCCCAATCCATGACATGAAAGCCTTCTTAAATTCCAGGAAGCAAGAAAAGGCAGCCTTGGAACGAACTATGTCCCATACCCGGACCTACGTTGACATCACAGGGCAGATGGAACTGCGCAGCAGGACCAGCCAGAGGACTCATAGTAACAAAGCTGCAAGTCATAGGGCCACAAGCCACAGAACTCCACGAGGGGAGGTTATCCAATGAACTGAGGAAGTTAACTGGCCTAAGCATGAAGTCTAGAATCCCGCTCGGAAGGAGTCTGATGGGATCTTGTTCAAGGCAACTGACAGACGTCCAGTCCTGTTGGTTTCTCCATTTACAAAGAGGATTTCCACGGCAGAACCTCCCAAGAAATTCAGTATCCCGAGGTTCGAGTTGTATGATGGATGAACAGACCCATTGGACCACCTGCGCCATTACAGACATGCTATGGCCCTCTGGAATGAGAATGAAGCACTAATGTGCAAAATTTTTGCTTCCAGTCTGGGCAAGATAGCCTGCGCATGCTATGATAAGCTCCAAGAGGGCTCAATTGACAATTGGAAGCAGCTCACAGACAAGTTCACTGAACGTTTTGTAGCCAACAGTAAATGTGTCAAGGGGCTTGACAGCCTAATGGCGCTGAGAAAGACACCTCAGTAGACTATCAAGCAATATGCTCAACTGTATTGGGAAACCTTTCATGTGGTAGAAGAAGACTGTTCAGACAAAGTGGAATTTCGACGTTCAAAAGGGGACTGTCTTTAGATGAGAAGTTGTGGCAGTCGTTGTCCAAAAAGCTAGCCAAAACGGTTGCAGAACTTTAGATAAGGATTGATAGGTATAACAAGTTAGAGAAAGACCAAAAGTCAATAGAGCAGGGGAGTGCACCAAGTAGTGCACAGAGGACAAATGTACAGCGCAGGGTGAAAGAAAACAAACCTCAACCGAGCAAGAAAAGGGATAAGGAATCAGATTATGTCATCTAGACAATGTTCAAGCTTCTCATATGGCAGATCCAACTAGAAATAAAGAATAAGCCTTGGTTCAAATGGCCAGCTAAAATGAAGAGAGACCCAAAAACAAGGAACCAGAGGGCAAAATGCATCTACCACAATGATGTGCTTGTTCAAACGTCACTTGGATGAATTGGCTGTAGCTGGGCGCCTGAATGAGTTTATTGGGGATAAGCAAGCTACTGGGTATAATGCCCAACAAGGAGGAAATGAATGGAATATAGAACACCCCAAGGGTATAATTAGCGTAATACATGGAATTGCACACCTAAAAAGGATAGCACAAGCCAGGGGAGAGATGCAGAAGGCTGCGCATCTCAGGGACGTTTACCAAGCAAAATACCCTCCAGGGTACAAGAGACCAAGAGTTTGAATCTTCTAATCGGGGTCCAGTCATTTCTTTTTCAGAGGAGGATTTAGACGGATTGGTTCAACTACATTTAGATGCCCTCATTATCAGGTTGGACTTGGACGGTTTTGGAGTACAAAAAATATTAGTGGACGAGGGTAGTGCAGCAGAGATCATGTACTACAAGCTATTTGAGAGCCTAGGTTTGAAAGAGCAGAACTTGAGAATAGTGGACTTGCTACTCTTGGGCTTCAATTCTAACCCAGTCTGGCCAGTGGGGGAAGTAATGCTGTCGGTGAGGGCAGGATCTATTTGCTTCTGAGTTTGTTTCTTAGTGGTTGATGTACCATCGCCTTACAATGCAATTATGGAGAGGCCATGGCTGCACTAGCTCAGAGGGGTGCCCTCAATGTTTCACCAAGTCCTGAAATTCCCAAATGATCAAGGAAAAGTCAAAACAATTAGAGGGGACCAGGTAACTGCATGTCGTTGCTTAATGCTGGCACTGGGCCAGAATGAGGTGAAAAAGGGGCATAAACTTGTTTGCTCAGTTGAGGTTCCAGACCAGGAAGTCTTAGAAGATGTTGGAAAAGAACCAGAAGAGCACACAGTGGAGGAACTGCACAAAGTTCGTATTGGGCCTGACCTTCCTGAGAGGTACTTTTTGCTCGGATCTTCCTTATCTGAGCAAGAAAAACAACTCCTTATCAAATTTCTGTTGGATAATATTGAGGTTTTTGCCTGAACCCCATACGAAATGCCTGGTGTAGACCTTAGTATTATCAGCCACTACCTAAACATAGACCTTACGTATAAACCAGTCGTACAAAGGAGTAGACAGTCACACGTGGATCACGTTCAGGCGGTGATTGAGGAAGTTGACAAACTCTTAGATGCTAAGGCCATAAAAGAAATACACTACCTCACCTGGCTCTCAAATACTGTTGTTGTCAAAAAGAAAAATGGAAAGCGGAGAGTTTGTACAGATTTTACCAGCCTTAACAGAGCTTGCCCAAAAGATTTCTTCCTATTGCCCAAAATAGACCAATTGGTGGATGCAACTTTTGGGCATGCTAGAATGAGTGTTATCATCAAATAGCAATGCATGAGGCCAACAAGGAAAAAACTACCTTTATAACTCTTAGGGGCCTGCACTGCTATAAGGTAATGCCCTTTGGGCTCAAAAATGCTGAAGCCACTTATCAGCGACTACTAACTACCATGTTTGCTGACCAACTTCGAAAAACCATGGAAGTTTATATTGATGATATGGTTGTTAAAAGCAAGCAAGAAGTAGAACATCTTAAGAACCTTCAAACTACCTTTGACATACTTAAGGCATACAAATTAAAATTGAATGCAGCTAGGTGTGCTTTTAGGGTTGGCTCAGGTATGTTTCTGGGTTACTTAGTAACAAGGAGAAGGATTGAAACAGACCCTCAGCAAATAAAGGCCATCCTCAACTTACGGCCACCTCCGCAAGCTCAAAAAGGTGCAGAAGTTGACTGGGATGGTAGCAGCACTTAATCGCTATATCAGCCACTCCTTGGACAAGTGCAAACCCTTCTTTCAATTCCTCAAGAAGGGAGGAGGAGTAGACTAGAATAAACAGTGCGATCAAGCACTGGAGGAATTGAAGCAGTACCTCATTTCACCCCCCTTGCTTTCAACACCAAAGCAGGGTGAAGGGCTTTACCTTTATTTGGTAGTATCTGAGGACGTGGTCAGTTCAGTCTTGGTCAGGGAGGTGGAAGGAGCTCATATACCTGTATACTACGTCAGCAAAACACTCAACAGTGCTGAGACCCGATATCTACCTTTTGAGAAGCTGACCCTGGCCCTAATGACTGTGGCAAGGAAGCTGATGCATTACCTTCAAGGACACCCAATCACAGTTCTCACACAACACCCATTGAGAGAAGCCTTTTTCAAAAAGCAGACTTTACTGGATGAAGCGCAAAATGGACAGTAGAATTGGGGGAGTTTGAGGTAACCTTTCAGCCAAGGACAACACAATCAAGGCCTGAGTGTTAGCAGATTTTGTAGCAGAATTCTCAATGGAGCATCAACAGTCGAGTTCAATGGTTGATGATTCATCAACAACAGAACTAGGGGGGCAAAGAGGATACAATAGTCCTGGAAACACAACTCCAAGAACCAGAACCTGCACTGGAACCCCAAAAAGATACAGCCCAAATAGCTCAGAAACACAAGACGACTTGGAAGCTGTATGTTAGGGATCCCAAGAGTTGGAAACTTTTTGTCAACGGTTCGTCAAACCTAAGCAGGACCGGAGTTTAGGTCCAGAATGATATTTTGGCGGGACAGATGGCTTGCTGTCCAGAATGCTGAAGATCCAGGTCCAGAAGACCTGGATCCAGCATGAAGGTCCAGGATCAAAATCAGGACCAGGACTGAGGATTCAGATCTTAATATTTAAGGTCAGAACTAGATAAGAAAAGGAGTGCACCTTTGAGGAGCAGACTCAGTCAAAGCATGTTCCTAAGGTTTAGGTCCAACTACCTTCTAGAATTCCGCATGTAGAGGAGCATGATCCCTAAAGAAAAGAGGTTGGCGTGCGGAGTGGGAGGGCTAACAGCCCACAACGGCTAAATCGAGCAGATTGTAAATAGAAATAGCCACCATGGTTGAGGTACACATTCCAATACCCCTACTTGAACTTCTACTCACATAGTTTGCTCCTTTGTCTACTTGGTTACTAACTTAGGCATCAGTGAGCCCCCAGGCTACTCCCCAGCCAGACCCTTCACCTTTTGTGAGTGTTTTCAGGTTCACAAAAGTCTTAACAGTCGCTGGAGCACCGCCACAGCCTAGTGGTTCAACTTTTGCCCACCACACTTGCTATAAAACTCTTTGAAGCCATGTTTTGAAAACATGAATTTTGAGGAGTTGTGTTTTGTAAACACGATTTTATGAAACAATGGGTTTTGTAAATAAGTTGAAAACTATTTGTGATTGGGAAATAAGATTCCAAACCACTTGGGTTTGGTAAAAAACTTCTCAATGGTGATTGTACTCCTTTGTGCATGTGTCTTCTGCAGAATTATTTTAGCAAAATATATATTTACTGCATGCTAAAAAATTGATTAAAATTTCCAGTATATAGAGCATTTAAAGCTTGTAACATTTGTTTTGTCTGGTTAGGGATGTTGATTTTGAAGTGATAATAGTGGATGATGGAAGTCCTGATGGAACTCAAGATGTAGTCAAAAAGTTGCAGGAGGTGTATGGAGAAGATCGCATTGTAAGTGTCACAAAATACAAATACAGTCATTTTGTTGATCAATGTTTTGTTTATTCTTAGCTTGTCAACCACCCTTACGTTTGACTCTCTATAAATGCAGCTGTTGAGAGCTAGACCTAAGAAGCTCGGATTAGGTATGTATTTGTGCTCCTCTGTTTGAAATGAAAACAATGAGCTGGTCCTTGATGCCAGTTTAATTGCAGGGACTGCTTATGTACATGGTTTGAAGCATGCTTCAGGCAATTTTGTTGTGATCATGGATGCTGACTTATCACACCATGTAAGTATGTTCTGTTGGATATAAATGACAATTAGGTCCTGTTGTGGTTGTTTTTTTATTTATTTATTTATTTTATTTTATTTTATTTTTTATTGATAAATCAGTTAGTTACTTTGAAAGAAAACTCATGTTGATGGTCATGCCACGAACATTCAGCATATTACATTCTAGGTTATTTATTGTGTAAAATTCGTTGAAATCATCAGATCTATCACCAGATTCCTTTTGTTTTGAAGGATTCTATAAAGTAGTGATTTTTTTGGATTATGGAATGTTGCACTAACATGTATTATGCTTTCAATGCCAAAATGTAACCCATGCTGTGGCATTTTATTTAATATCCAAAACTATGAAATAAAATTTTTTCCACGAGGAAAATGTCAAGGACATAAAAAAATAGTTGGTAGGTCTGGCAATTAGGAAGATGTAAGCTGAGTTGTATTTTGTTATTTTGTTTGTGGCTAGCCTATCAGGTTGTGAGAGGGTGTGTTTCTATGCCTATGCTCTCTGGTTGTGAGAGGTTTGTTCTTCGATGGTCTAGTCCTGTTGTTTTGTGCTTTGGGGTAAGCCTTTTGTGCTTATCCCTCTCAGGTTGTATTGTAAGAGGGAGTTTCTTTGCTTTGGCCTAGTCCCCTAGCTTGTAAGTAGCTATTTTTCCTAGGCTAGGTCTGTTACCTCTTTGCAAGGTTAGTCTTCTAGTCATGTCCTTGAGTCCACTTGGGTCTGTGTTTGGAGCTTCATTGTTTATTCTCTCTTTTGGTAATAAAAGCTTAGTTACCCAATAAAAAAGGAAGTAAATCCAATAATCCACCAAATATGCCCACTTTGAACTTTTGGGGTAATTTCTTCGTGTATGCATTTTTGTGTAACTCTTCATGTTTTGCTTATCTCCACAGGAAGTGCATTTACTACAAGAGTTGTTTTTGTTTGTCATCTCTTTTAATATTATTAACCCCAAAACAATTAATATTCAGTTCATTTGGTTTTCCTGTTTCTTGTTGCACAGCCAAAGTACCTGCCAAGCTTCATCAAGTAAGAAAGCTTCCACTTAGGTTTTGGAGTTACACTTTATCATGTGCTTAGTAGTCAAAATTGATTTCCGAATTATGTTTGTTTGACACTTTTGCAGGAAACAGATGGAGACTGGTGCAAGTATAGTTACTGGTACCCGGTATGTCAAAGGTGGTGGTGTGCATGGGTGGAATCTTATACGCAAATTGACAAGTAGGGGAGCGAATGTCCTTGCACATACACTTCTTTGGCCTGGTGTATCTGACTTAACTGGATCTTTCCGGTACATTGAATATCTTATGATATCAAACAGTTTATTTGTTTCACTTTTAACATTTCAAAAACTGAAAATTTGTTGCGTATTTTTAAGGCTCTACAAGAAATCTGTGCTTGAAGATGTCATAAGCTCCTGTGTTAGTAAGGGATACGTTTTCCAGATGGAGATGATTGTTAGGGCTTCAAGGAAAGGTTACCATATTGAAGAGGTAATGTTAAATTCTTATTCTTAGTTGATGGTCGTGGTTGACAAACTGTGAGTTGGAATCAACTTTTCTGGCTGTCATATTGAAGAGCTAGTATTAAATTCTTATCCTGCAACTCATTACTTGTGAGCTGGACATGGATGGCTTTGTGGTTCATGTGTTTGCATAAAAATATTCTGCGAGTTTTGCATTGATTTGTGAGATACATAATGTTGTTTGTAGACCAAGTTGTGAGTCGTAGTTCAAAAAAAATAAAAAAACAAATTGTGAGTCCGGCTTGCTGATTGTGTCACCAGCTCGCTGTAAGGTTACCCTGTTATGCCTCAGGCCCATATGGATCATTCATAAAGTAGTTACGAAAAACAATGCAAATTCTCCATATCTGGTAACATTTGTTTTTCCCTTGTATGCACAAGGGGGAAAAAAATGTGAATTTATATAATTTAACTGAGCATAAGCAGAACGATGAAAAGTGATTCATTATGCACGATTATGCATATCTCATCTCTTCATAGTTTGTTCATTGCCACATATTGCCTAAGTGACATCAAGGATAGCATGGGTCAGTGCTGACTTCGTGTTTCCTGCATTTACGTCTTTTGGGCAGATTTTTAATGTTTTTATAACACCAAGTGGTTGTTTAAAGTTTATAATGCTTGGTTATTTTGTCCTGGAAGTAAATAAATCATGTATATTTCATCAAATAAAATGACTACAAGAGCTGTGGTGTCTGAATAGTGTATCAGCTGCAGTGGTTTGCGATATTTGGAAATATCTAGATCAATAACCAGCATAACTTTTGACCATCTGCGTGTTCAAAAAATAAAGAGGAACATATTTACTTATATCCTTTTATGGCTTCAACAATTAAGCTATTTGTAGATAAAGAGGAACATAACAACCTCATGTGCTGATGTTGATTCCATCTTAAACAGCGTGTGATTGCTCAAAATATTATCTACCATGCTAAATTCTGACTACTTTTCTATTGTGCTTTTCAAAACTAATTGTACTTTTTAGATGTCATAATGCAGTTTAAGTTATCCTCCGAGGTTTTTTTTTTTTTTTTTCATATATATATATCTATATATGTATATTTCTTTTGAAGTTGCTGACTTAAAATTTATGCCTATGGCTTGAAATTTTGACTTGAGTTTTACATCTGTTCGCAGGTTCCAATTACTTTTGTTGATAGGGTGTACGGAAGTTCAAAGCTCGGAGGATCGGAAATAGTAGAATATCTCAAGGGCCTCGTGTATCTTTTGTTTACTACTTGAAGTGGAGTGGAGATAATAGCTCATATGATCTTCTTCACTTGCAGTAGAGTCATTTTTGTGCTAGTCAAAAATTTTAATCATACAACTAATGCAATCAATCTGATCAGTAACAATAGCATCTTATCTTCTTCCTGCCCAATTTTCTCTTGCTTTTTACTTGTATTATTAGTCATAAAGTGCTTTCTCTCTTGTAAGATCGTGCATTCAACTTTGTGATATCCGGGGGCAAAGGCATTTTTGAACTTAGGGTGTCCATTTGATATTCATTGGGTTGTGTACATTATCAGATAGATAATCTCAGCTGTTAGTATTTTATCCCACTTCAAAAAATTTGTTGAGATCATGAAGCTTTTTTAATTGCAACTATTTTATGCAACTGTGTTTTCTTCTGGTAGTTTAGATCAATGGTATCACCTCCATTTGCAAATGCAGGAGTTGGTGGCTTGCAGGGAGACCTATTGAATGTGAAAGCAATTAGGAATGAGGTAGGTAGTTTGGCATATAATAATGATTTTGTTGAGATCATGGAGCTCAATAATATGATTGTGACTATTTTGTGCTACTTCATGTGTTTTATTTTGTATAATGATGGATTTGATTTTTTGTGTTTTTATTTTTTGACCAAATTTATAAACTGAGACCGCTAATTTATAAATCAAAAATTTTACCAAACAAATTTTTATTTGAATTTTTTAAATTTTTGTAAATATAAACAGAAAACTAAAAACGTAACCAAATAGCACCTAAGCTTTTTTATATGATTGTGACCTGTTTTATGCAACCTTTATGCGATTCGTTGGTGTGAATTTGTTGAGGTCATGAAGATTTTTGCTGACTACTTTTTGCAACTTCATGTGATTCGTTCTGGATGATGATTTCATGGATTTTATTTTATGTTTGAGTGGGAACTTCCACCTGCCAAAGGGGTCTTTGATTGAGACGGTTTTTTGTGTTGAATTTTCGAGTGAGATTGATTGCCCCAGGGTAGAAAATGAGCCGAGTAGTAGATTGTTCAAGATTAATTTGATAATTTGAGTATAAAATTGTGTTCAAACTTGACTTATTTACATAAAAAGCTGATTTTGAATGAGTTTTTAATGAGTCAAACACGAGTTAACCTTGAATAACTTGATTCTTTATAATGCATATAAGTTTATCGAGCAGAGTGGTAAGTCATTCAAGCTTGACTTGAAAATTTAGTAAGTTTAAAATGGTGTTGAAGCTTAGCTTGTTGACAAAGCGAGTCAATTGCAAATGAGATTTTAATGAGTTGAGCTCAAGCAGCTTAGTTCGTTTAACAGTTGTAAATCATTTGAGATAATGCTTAATTCCAATGGCCAAACCACCATAATTTGTTTTTTTAAGGTTGTATTTGGTTGTTAGATTTGATAAGAGAAATGAAAAGAGAAATAGAAAAAAAAGAGAATTGTACAAAGTTAGCTCGTGGTTTTCATTATAACTAAATAAAAAGTGGAACTGTATTTCATTTTTTCTTTTCATTCTTCTAATCAAATATAGGCTAATTGTCCTTTTAGAAGGGCAATCCACCAACCTGTTTAGTCTTGCAACGCTATATGCAGAAAAAACACATTCTGGCAAGATAGAAATATTTAGGTGTATACTCATTTTTTTTTAGGAGAAATTACGAATCAGCCTACCTTTCAAAAAATAATTACAAATTTATAGAAAAATTTATAATTTGAATTATTAACATTTAAAAAATTTATCATTGATTTACAATTATTTTTTCAAACTCTCACTGATCTGATATTCCCACCCTACCAAATAAATAAATAAATAAAATTGACTTCTATTTTTTTTCTTATCATTTCTTCTCCATTTTACTTTGGAAAAATTTCAATACAGAGTAGGTTGTTTTTTTTTTTTTTTTAATAAGACATTGCAAATAAATGATTAACTTTATTAGTATTAATAATTAGAGGCATAAACTTTTTCATCAATCTATAACAATTTTTTGATAGTACCCCTAATTTATAATTTCCCTTTTATTTTCCCTCATAAATTTCGTGTAAAAATTCAAAATCAAACACAGATAAAACTCCACTTTTGGATAGAACCACAGTACAGCCCATTAACAACAACAATACTACTAGAAAAATGTTAAAGATCCTAAATATTTTACTAAATGTCTTATGTGGGTGTGGGATTCACACCATGTGGGTCCTAAACGTGAGATATTTAGTAGAACATTTGAAATCCCTAATAACAATATTATAAATTCAGACAAATTATTAAAAAAAATTAAAATCATTGTAAGTGTGACTCACATACAATTAATTTTAAATTTATATCATATATTAACTTTCCAAATAAGATTCAATATACATTTTCATAGTTGATATGATGGACCTTGCAAACATCATCATTCTAATAACATGCTGTTTAAAATGTCCCTCAACATTTTCCTTCATTTACCAAGCTTTTTATGGATCCAACGGTAAAGTGGACGCCGGGAATGATTTCGATTTCTTAAACACCTCCCACCCAATTTATTATGAATTTCAACTTGATAATCATATTAGCACATTAAAAGTGTTAGAAATCTTAAAAAATTTACCAAATGTTTCATATGGTGTGAGACTCACATGGTGCAAGTTTTACGCTAATGTGAAACATTTGATAAAATTTTAACGGTCTCTAACATTATTCTTAGCACATATACCATATCTTGACTCAACTGTGTTTGGTTAAATGGAAATGCTTCTCTATGTTTGGTTAAATGGCAAGAATATGAACAAGAACAACTCAAAGTTTTCCTTAAAAGAAAAAGAAAAAAAAAGTGTAAAACAAATCTGTATCAAATCAAGGGTGAGACAATTTTTTTACCAAATCCTTTACCAAATTTTCAATACTCATATTTGTACATTTGATGAAATTTTAAAAAGTGTAATGATTGGAGATATTTTTTATTTATTATTATTAAAATGGTTAAAACAGAAAATTTTACAGTAAATTTTAAAATTTAATTAAAAAAGATTTGATGAAAAAAAGAGAATAAATTGTGGATTGTTGCTTTCAACTAAATTTTCACTCAGATTAAATGAAAAAAAGAAAAGAAAAGAGAGTAAGAAATGGAGATGCTCTAAACAAATTTATAAACCATAAAACCAAAGAAGAAGAAGAAAAGATGGATTTCTCTGTGGAAAAAAAAAAAAAAAACTCATTTTCCTTAAACCACAAGCACCATGCATCAAACAAGAAGTTAAAAAAAAATAAAAATAACACAAAAAACATAGCATGGACCATAAATAAAAAAAAAAAAAAAAAAAAAAATACCCCCCCCAAAAAAATAAAAAAATAAAAAAAAAAAAAACATACAAACCAATTCCCCTAAAGCAGAAGTCAATACTATATGGATTTTTCTCACAAACCCAGTTCAGATTCAAGAAAAATCAGCTTTTCAGAACCCTTCGTGCTACGATTTTCCGATCACCACCAAGCTCAGATTTCTGAGAATTCACAGGCAAAGGAGGTTTCTTGTTTTCCTTAATGCTACTTCTCAGAAAATACCTCTGATTCTCTCTCCGATCCATCGTCGCCATGGGTGTAGAAAGTACCGATTTTCTCAATCCTTTCACATCCCTTTTCTTCGCAGATTCAACTTTGACTCCAAGATCGTACACAGTCTTCTTCTTCTTCTCATCCCCTGTTTCACCCTTCTTTCTCTTCAGCCTCTCATTCCTTCTTGCAGAGTACTCTTCGTAAAACCTACCCCTTTCAAACACACTACTCGAAGTTGCACTGATTGAATTACCAAACCCAACATTGATAGAACCTGGGTTTTCGAATTCGTCTTGTACCATCTTCGTCAATGCCTGTAATTCGACAGAAATCGAGTTGTATTCGGGACGAATCTCTGATTCTTTGGTGTACAAAGATCGATTCAGTAATTGGGTTTTCCTCAAAGAACCTGCTTCAGTGAATTAAACAATGAATTTGAGTAAATTGAAAGATACGAATTTAAAGGTGTTGGTTGTGCTGAGTTTGAACTTACCGAGAGGAGTTTGGATGGTGTTCTCAGTGGAGCGAAGAACGCGACGAGGATGAAGACGCAAAGGAGATCTAGGGAGTGGTGGCTTGCGATCTGATCTCATCATGGACATTGATAGAATTCAAAGAAAATTGCAGAATGTAAGAGAGAGAATTCGAGAGGGAGACTTATGAAATTTTGAATTTGAGAAGAGTCCAACGGTCATATATTGATGAGTTACGAATGATAACGTTGGAGCCTTGTTGGGCAACGTGTATTTTTTTGTAATGAAAAGTTAAGAATATTTGGGATTTGGGAAAAGTGATGAAAAGTAATGGCCTGTTTGGTGGTGTTTATTTCTAGTTTATTTTAATTTTTAGTTTAATTTAAGTTATTTTGATGTGTTTGGTTCAGCTTAACAATATACCTTATAGCTTTTTGTAAATCAAAAAATAACTTATTCTTTGAGTGGGGGAAGAGAAACTTAATTTATAAATCAAAAATTAGCTTATGTTCACTGTTATAAGTTATAAGCTGTCAGGTTATAAGTTATAATCATTTTCTCACAGCTCTACCAAACAGGGCCAATGATAAGGTGTGTGATATGCTAGTTCCAAAAAAAAGAAAAGAAAAAAAGAAAAGGTGTGTGATATGCACATTTAGTTTGGTAGTGCTACATACAGTAATTAATGTATATATTAATATATTCGGTGGTATTACATGTATTAATTAGTGTACTAACTAGTGCACCAATACTAGTTATGATATTATTATTAACCAACTCATTAATCACATTACAAATATTAAAATCTCTTAAATTATGTCACATCATCAATTAGTACACTAGTTAATACACCAATTGGTGCATATAACATTATTCTAATATATTAATTAGTGTTATGTCATTATTATTGACTCTACTTATTAAGCAAATTACAAATATCCAAAACTTCTAAAATTATGTCATATTATCGATTAGTATACTAATTAGTATATTAATTGATACATATAGCATTATTCCATTTAGTTATATCATTTTTTTTTATATAGTTATGATTTTTTTTTAATTATCACATTATTTTAGTTATGATTCATGAATTTTTTTTTTAGTTATGTTTCATGTTGTATTTAGTTATGACATTTTTTTTATATCTTTAATTATGACTCAAAATTAAAATTATATCAATTTTTTTAATTATAAAGTGCATATGGTGCATAGTGTTTCCTTGTGATTTATATTATGGCATTTGTAATAAAATTATTAGGGTAAATTTGAGATTAAATTTGAGATTATTTCTATTGTTTTAAAAATTACAAATATTTCATTGTCATAATTTTTTATTTAATAAAATTATCCAAAAAAAAAAAAGATTCTTATCTATTTTTTTATGCAACAATAAAATTATTAGAATTGGTAATTAGAAAATATTTCTAACATCATCAAAAGCTATTAATTGCCTTAATAATTTATTAATAAAATGAGTCATTTGTTATGTGATGTGGTGTGGCTACTATGCGGCCCGTTTCGATGGTCCCAATTATTTACTTTTAAGAATATATTGAGTAGAACACACTTGTAAAAAATCAAGTTGATCAGATCTAGTTAACCATTTCATTGAATTACATTTCTATATACAAAAATGAATAGCAAATTTGATTTGAATTATAAAACTAAATACAAATGCAATTCAATGAAAGAGTTAACGATATCTAATCAATTTGATTTTTTATAAGTATGTTCTACTCAATATACTCTAAAAAATGAATGGTTCGAATTATCAAAACGAGTATCGAAACGGGCCCAAATAGCCGCATAGCAATAGCTATTGTGTCTCCCGCATAGCAACTGCACCATATCATTTGTTATGTGATTTGAAATTTAAAGAGGCAAGATATAATTTTCAGAATCACAAGAGACATTTCGTATTTTAAACAAAACCTCAGGAAGTGTATTTGTAATTTACCTAAGTTACTAATAATAAATTTATGTTGTTCACTTTAAAATTAAGAATTGTAATATTATGACATTTTGTGATTTTTTGGTATGAAATTTTGTGATTTTTGTTCTAACATTTTATGATGAATAAAGATATAATTTTGTGGTGAAAAAAGTTATGACACCATAAGGTTAAGAATTGTAATATTATAACATTTTGTGATTTTTAGTTATGAAACTTTGTGATTTTTGTCATAACATTTTATGATGAATAAAGATATAAATTTTGTAGTGAAAAAAATTATGACATTTTATGATTTATGTCATGAAACACTATGAAATTGTTTGAAGATATTATAAAAGGTATACCATACACATCCTTTTGGGGAACACATTATAGTGTCTCCCTTTATTTGACTATTATGTAAGTAGATTACTCATAAAAAAATAAAAAAATAAAAAATAACCCTATAATTATAACTCAAGATTTTATTAGATTTGTTTGTTAAAAAAAATAAAATGAGCGGTATTGTTTTTAAAATTATCTTTATCGTCCACTTTTGTCAAAAAAATATTTTCCAAATATGTAGTTATAATTATCGAATAAATGTATTTTTTTTTTCCATTAATGATCTATATGTGTAGTTAAACAAAATAAACAATTCAGATGCGTATATGTTAGGCTATATAATACCCAACATAACCTCCAATATGCAAAGTCAACTGAAGAGAAGCTTCTTTTTATAGGGCTGCAATGTCAATACAGAACTAACATCCTATTTGACAAATTAGAAAATTAAAATTTGAAAAATAAATACTAATTACTGAAACTAAATGTTAAAAATTTTATTGTGAAAAACTATTTGATATTTATTGAAATTTGACTGCTGAATTTATTTAAGTTGTTCGATATGTAAATATATAAATATATTTGAAATTTACAAAATTTTAATTTCTCTTTTGTACTTCTTTTGTGATAGTGATATAATAATCACATAGTGGTGGTGGTAGTATGATGAAGTGCAAGTGGAGGCAGTAATGACGTTGGTTATCTGGTGGTAAGATAGTGATTATGGTATAACAATTGTGTATTTTTTTTTTTCTTTCATCGGCAAAGAAAAGTTGATTTTATTGATGAAATTCAACTTACATGAAGATGATGGTAGGTGTGGAAAGCATCATAGCTAGACAAAGCGATCCCAATGTTGGCACCACTATGCAAGCCTAATCATATACTAGCATTCCACCAAGTGATTATGGTATGACAATTGTTATTGTAGGGTAGTGGTGGTGGTGGTGGTTGTGTGAGGTGGAATATAAGTAGTAGTAGTACAGTGATTGCAGCGATAATATCAATAGTGGTGGTAACTGAGTAGTTATGATAGTGGTGGCTACGTGATGGTTGAAGTAGAGATTGGTAGCAGTGATAGTAGTGGTAGTGAAATGATAATGGAGTTCTGATAGTTGTAGTGGTTGCAACGATTATGGTTATGGGTGGTGTGATAGTATTACAGTAGTGACAGTGGTGATAATATGATCGTGTTGGTAATGATATGGTGGGATAGTTGTGGTGATAGTGATAGTAGAGGTGGAGGTGGAGGTGGAGGTGGTGATAGAGTAATGCTGGTGGTGATGTAATGGTGAATCTAATGACGATAATAATTGTGGTGGCATTGTTAGGGTGGAGACGGTACACTTTTGTAGTGGCATATAATCATAATATATTAAACATTCAATGTTCAGAATTATGTAAGCAATTCGTAACTTAAATTTTAATTTATTTTTAAGAGATGTTCAAAATTATAAATGATACAAATTGAAAATATCAAACAAATTTAATTAATTTCCATTGAATTCATTTAATTTTGAATGTTAAATTGGATTACCAAATCCCACCTTAATTATGCATGGAAAAAGTGCAATAAGGTGTTTTCCTACAAATCAATGACAAAGTTTGATATCAACGAATTTTGGATAGTTTATTTGGAGTTCGATTTTGTTCACATATTTTTTAAGTGTGTGAATAATATATATGTTGGGCTTGATTCAGTGATCTTAACCACACCACAAGATGTGGTGAGGGGACAGTTAGGAGTTCGAATTGATGGAACAACAGTGATCCCTTTAGGTTGTAATCTAATTTTACTAACAAAAACAAACATCCTACGATGTTGGCAAAAATACATTTTTTGATTGGTATAAAATAGTAAGATGTAATAAATGTAGGTGAATAGACCAGAAAGAAAAATATTGGTAGAAATAAAAATATTTTTTTTTATTCACATATAAAATTTATACAAAAAATATCATAAAAATGATATGATAGTGATATTGTTATAAATATAAATCATTTTTATGAGTGCTTTGTTTTAAAGTGAAATGTCACCATTAAACTATATCATTGTGTTTGAAAATTCTGTATAAAATTTATATTTGTATATCATCACTTAATAAGAATATATTCAGGTGTAATTTAGTTAGGGGTGTTGTGACGCCCCAAATTTTTGGAACATCAAGGGAATTTAAATAAACAAAATGATTTAATAAACAAAAAAGTTGACATCTTAATAGGGCAATCCAACTCTCGTACATAACCAAATGTTCAAACAACAATAGATAAAAACCTAAAATTATCCAAATACAATATTAAATGAAATTATAAAGTCCTTAATAGCTATTATATAAATTAATATAATTTATTCGACTCTAATTGGGGTTTCAAGTCAGCTAAGGCTCTACGTTAGCGTCAACTCTATCTCAGCTTCAATTATTTCCTCGCCAAAACCTGGCATAAAACGTCAGGGCAACAAAAATATATGCCATGAGTTTTGCAACACAGTAAGAAAACATAATCAACCTATCATTCTTTTTAAGAGAAAAATAATGAGATAATAAACATGAGATAACAATATAATTGTAAATATAAATTACAACCATTAAAATAATTTCAATAATTCTAATAAATTAGGTGACACTTAAAATCTCACCAAAGAGATTTAATTACCAATCACTAAGCATGGCAACGGTTAATTTGAAACCCCCATTGGTCAAATATTCAAGTGTTACCAACTGTAACTACTAGGAATGCTCATGTTCGGAGTTATATATCCAAGTAATGGCATCTATGGTCTGCCTTAAGGAAATTGTTTGCTAGGGGTACGTAATCTCCCTGTGTGCCACCTGCACATCTACCCTTATTCCAAAACCGAATACCGAAAAAGGTTCAAATAAGTCTCGTGCCATCTTAGGGTTTCGCGACACAATTTACGTGAGAATTCTCAAAACC